TAGCTGAGTCGCAGCTTTGCCAAGACACCTGAAGAGAAGACCTGCCAATCTTGGTCTGCTTGGTCAAGATGGTCCCAGAAACAGAAACAAGACGAAAATAAGTCCCAGACTGGAGCTTTGCTACCGGACTGAATGCTTGTCTGCCACTGGTGTGGGGTCTCCAGATGCACGGAAGGGAGACCGTAGAAAAAGTCCGGACTTGTCGGAAGACTCGACGACAACGCTTTTCCAAACTCGAGGGTCTGGATGAGATGGGGTGTTCAGATTCCTCCAACAGACGGCTTGTAGTGCCATCACGCGTCAGCCGAAGCGGGTTAGTTGCTTGCCGGCCGATCTACGATGCCTACAATGCCTATGGTGTAATTATGCAGATGTGATTCTCGTGGCAGACCCACAAGTTGGTAATGCGCTTTTGAGTCTTAGGACGTGTCCTGTTGCAGCCGTGGTGCAGAGTTCAGGTGTCCCATCACGTTGACGCGCCCGACGACACTGCCAGTCAGAGGCGAGCTGTTCAGATACTACGCTGTGGGGCAGCGTCTGGCTGTAACTGTGATCTGTTTGGAAAGCAGTGTGCCTGTGCGAAGTCTGTGCGTTGTTCGTCCATGTCGGTCCGTCAGGTGTGCGGGATCACGTCTAATCATGGTCGATGTTGTGCCCTCCGGCTTGTCTCGGTCACTTCCCAAGTCCCCAAGTGTCTTCAGTCTCGACGAACCGCGCAGTCCGTGCAATTCGAGTGCAGGCAAAGGCTGCCGTCATTTGCAGCAACTTCCTGAGCTTTTGACGGGTTTCTGCTTTTTTCTTCTGTGGGACCCGTGGGCCTCCTGGAGGTGCCTGGACTTGGAAGCATACCTCATCTCAAACTATCGGATGAAGGCCTTCAACAGCCGCTGGCGCTGCCCAACCTGCAGCTTCGAGCTCAGGCCGGCACAATGCAAGCGAAGCGGGCCCGACTGCCCGACTCACCCGACCCGCAGGCCACGCGACTTGATCGTCGACTCCTTCGTTCAGACGTTGCTGGCTCAGACCGCCGAGGAGACTGAAGAGGACGCGCGAGGGCTTATCTTACCTTGGCAATCCCTCTCAAAGTCTCAGCTACAGCACGAGATTGTCAGCTAAACTACACCTTGCCAGGTCTTGGTTCTACCTGATGGTAGCTGGCGTTTGGGCGACCCAGTGCCCCAGCGTGCCGTTCTGAGACGTGGGAATCGTCCCGGCTTCCAGTGAACGTAGAGCTCGGATGTCAGAAGCTTCCGTTTGGAAAGGAAAGTCTGCGAATACGATGTTCCTCGACGCAGCCGCAGCTGAGGTAACCCATCGCCCTCTCCGGAGCCCCCTGCACCGCCTCCTCCAAAACGACAGGCTTGGGCTGTGCAGCTTCGTGGCGGCTCAGTGATGTTGGTGTCTGCCATGGCAGGCAGACAAAGCCGAAACTGCAAAGGCTTCTGCTGAGAAGCATCCCTGACGTCCATGTAACACCGTGCAAATGTGCGGCATGCTTTGTTTTCTTTCGACCGGAGGGGATGGGGTGGGGTGAAACAAGGTGTGCTACATGCTTGGGTGAGCACGGAGTATATGCATGCTGGATTCTGGCATGTGATCAAGTTGGAAGGCACGCCGCCGACAGAAGCGCTTGGAATCTCAGAAGCAAGGCCTTCCAAGAGCAAGACTTTTTGCTCTCGCACCAATACCCGAACGTCTTCGTGCCTCTGCCACGCATACTATGTCATGTCACCATACCGCTGCTAGCCACTGGTAACTTCGAGCTATGTTTTCAAAAGGGTCGGACTCGGGGTTGTTTCGCTGTGCTTGATACCGTGAGAAATTGAACGTTTGGTTGCCAATCTTCGGCCATATGTCGATTTTTTCTTGTGCTCACTCTCCGTTGAGTGAGGGGAGTCTTTGTCGGTTTCCTTGCTGTCGCGCTTGCGCTTAGAGTGCTCACTAAGACACTTAGATTGAACCTCGTGTCCTGCCGGGATTGGCTGTCAGAAGAATTTATTGGCCAAGCGTTGACGTACAGTCTCCGTCTCACAGTGACAGGGTTATCGACCGTGATTTCCTTATCAGCTTCTTGTCTGGGCTAGATAAACTCAACATGTCCCAACTTTTGCCCACTTTGACATGCCAGGAGAGCACAGCAAGTTGGCTGCCATACTCCCAGACGGTGATCTGCCATGGATGCCATCGCATGCAGCACTTCGGATGGGTGGTTGTTGCAGCAATGCTGCCCAGCGCTGCCTAAGGTGCGCGCCAGAAGACAAAAGTGGCGCAAAGCTCCTGCAATAGGAGATGCCCGACTTTGAAATCGAGGTCGCCACGGCGTATGAATCAGGGTTGGCAGGACCTGTGAACAAACCTCGTCGTCCTCCTGCTCGTGGACATGTCCGGGCAGCAGGTGGGTTGCAGCCTGCACACCCTGCCCCCCGACTCACTGTACATACTCCACACTGGGAGCTTTCCATGCCAGGATTGATGTGTTTCGTACAGGAGCGCTGAAGAGGCCGGTTGTCAAGCGCACGGCTGCCGCAAGACGGGCAGCTGCCATTGCTGCGGGGCCGAACAGATACGTGGGCCACTGCCTCATGTCTTTGTTCTCGTGTCAGATCCTTCACAATCCCGGTGAACGATGTGCCGAGGTGTCGACTCAGATGCTTCACCCGAAATGGTTTCTGACTCTGACGTGGATGGCGAGCAGACCAGAATGAGTTCCAGACATGCACTTCGTTGAACTCGTGAGAACTTGGTGCTCCAAGGCCCCATGGTGCTTGATATCTCATGGATGATTGACATGCGTCACTAGCTGCTGCTCGTGATTAGCATTTTATGCGAGCTTTCGCTCTGAGGCGTCTGGCTATTTCGGTAAGCATCACGTAAACATCACGTCGTTCGCCTGCAACCGGAATAACACATCTGGCAGCTGTCAGCGGAGCATGCTTTCAGTTTCAGCAAACAGCTCAATATGTAGGTTTGCTTTCTAAGTCGCAAAGCCACGGTAGATGTTCGGATTTGCTCACCACCTTGAAGCGCAAGACATGGAAAGAGATGCCGCGGCAAGGGGCAAGGAAGAAACAGCGCCAGCGAGCTGCCATTGGAAAGGCAACCGTGGGAATGTCTCATGCCAAGAGTACTTTATGGCACATGAGGTGCTGACGCTAACCGCAGAGCTGGAGGCCTCGCAAGCAAGCGGCCATGTTCCACCGGTGTCAGAAGGCCGCCACTAGCAGTTCTGCTTAGCTGCAACGAGACAGCCTCGTTCAAGTCCTGCTCTGCGCAGGCAAGAAGGCCTTGAAGCGGTCCGAGCGCGTCGGTCCATCAGCAGACATTGAGGCAAAAGCTAATCCATGGCTTTCCGCGGTTTCAAACTATCCAAGCATTGTAGTGCTTGCGCTCGTGCATGCCACAAGCATTGCTCCGCTTTGGTATTGGACAGTGATCGCTTGGGGCTGGTTTTAACAGTAATTTATCCCCTAGCGCGCGAGTCGCCTCGGAGCCGTTTTCGAGTTCCGTTATGCGTGCCCGCAGCCAGCAGTCGGTTATGTAGACAAAAAGGAAAAGAATATTGTCCAAGGCCAGGGTGGGATTGAGTGTTTAAGTTTCCGGTACAGTCCCGCAAAAGGCGGCCCGGGGGAAGGAAGAGCAATCAAGCACAGTGGAAGCAAGCGTTGCAGAGGGACGAAAAGGGAATAGGAACCAGCAAAGAAGCGAAGACGGAAGATGGGTTGGGGGCGGTGGGGGGGGGTGCTTCAAAAAGCCGAGACCTAGAACCTGATCGGAAGAGGCCTGGGACGGATTCGCATGCTTCAACCTGGCATGATTGGGCGTGGGTTAGGAACTCTTGATTCTGCGGTTTAGGACACTTGTTTCTGGGGTTTAGAACTTATTTCCGGGTTCTGAACGCTTGTTGTGGTAAGGGAATGCGAACACTTGTCCTTGGCCGGTGAACATTTGGTTTTGTCCTGGGCCGGTGAAAACAGATTCTGGTGGGGAAGTGAACACATGTCTTGTGCCGAGATGTTCAGTTTCCCACCAGAATACGTGTTCACCGGCCCAGGATTGGTGTTGACTTTCCCACCAGAATAGGTGCTAATCGGCCAGGATTAGTAGTGTTCACTTTGGCCCAGAATAAGCGTTCAGCTGCCCAAGATAAGTGTTCACTTTCCCACCATAAAGGTTCACCGGCCCAGGATACGTCATTTATGTACCATGCCATCATGCCAAAAGCCAGGTACAGAGTTAGTGTTAGAGTCAGACGAAACCCCTAAGTGATCCTGGTACGATGTGGTATGGAGAGCAGAAGTTCTGGTGCAGCAGGCGGCCCTGACAGGGAGAGGCAAGCACTGTGAGAAGCTCTTCGAGTTGATATCTGAGTACTCGGGGGCCAGAGGGATAAATGAGGCCATTGAGACTTTTGTCTTGTGGACAAGGCTTGCGAGCCGCCCCGCAATACGTGTTGCAGTGGGCGATTCATTTGTGGAGGCTCATTTGTTTCAGTCGCGAAAGTTGTCACGTTTGCTGCCTGGTGCTGCTGTGACAAGGTTGTCCAGGACCGATCCACGCAGGAACACAGCGGTGGAGTCGCAGCTTGGCGAACATCGATTGTTTGGGAAGTTTTGTTTTCGGATGCAGCTTAAAGAGGCTTGGGGCTTGGCCGTCTCCTCGGCATGCGAGGTATGGGAAACTGCCTTCTTCCTCTTGCGCTATTTGCAGCAAGCCATCATCCCAGGTGCTGGGGCTTGGACAAACAGGAGTGTTTGAGTAGAGCGAGGGTCTTGACCCAGTGCCGAACCTGCCAGTCAGTACATATGTATATACTTCAGAACCGCTGCAGAAAAGAATGGTGCAACGAAAACCTGCTTGTATCAGCTTTCATAGCCACGCATGCCTATACGTGTGTTGTAGCTCATTGCCAAAGCAAGCAGACGTCCCCAGCCTGTTCGGAGTATTATGGGAGTTGACTCTCACGCCAACCATGAAGTCTCAGATTCGCTAAGTCGAAAGGTATGCGGCAAAAGGAAGGACGACCACTTCGTGTTGTTGAGCTGGGTACTGAGTTGGATCATCCAAAGATGTCCGAAGATGCTTGTCCTTTTGCCAGTAGGTTGTTGTTATTTGACACTCAACTGACTTAGCAGTTGCTGTCACGCATGCAGAGAAGGGCACACCTGAACTTTTGGGACAGTTGCTGTCCGAGTTTGACTCATTCTGAAGTTCGTGTGGTGTCACCTTCACAACCTGATGAGCCTGTCTGAGGCTCGGGGCCGGATGCGGTTTGCTTGGTCTCGGATTGTCTCGTCTTGGATGTGAGGCGAGATCTTGAGCGAGACACCGCCCACCGCATGTGGTAGATGATCTGAATGGCAAGGTCGTCCTGACAGAGCAGCATGTTGCCATGGAAAACTTGCTGCGGAATGTGGAGGCTGCAAGCAAAGATAGGCTGTTTTCTTTCAGTCATGGAACGTGGACCGGCAGCCAGGCTGCGAACAAGAGCTTGCCAGAAGACTTCGTGCCCGCGCAGGCTCAAGCCGAGCATCTTTAACGTCGCACATAGCTTACACTCAGCACTTGCCATGTGGCACCGCCGAGCAGAGGCTTTGGAACTGGATTGGGGCAGCGAAGCGAACGTGGCAGCCGTAAGGAGCAAAGGAGAGGGCCTCGGCTAAGTGGGGATCAAAAGCTCTAAGCGATCAACATCTTCGCAGGATCCTTCGACCTGGTTGTTGGCACGGACATCGTCTTTGCCAGTCGACTTGTTCAGTCCGGTCCTCATCAAATGCAGCAAAAGCTTCCGAGTGATCGAATCTTGCGAAGGCCGTTAATTCTGACGATCCGAACACTTCTGAAGGCAGGCTGCGGCCCGGGGCCGTGGCATGCTGTTAGTGACTGTTTAGTGGGATGGCTTCTTCTGCAGGGATCCCCGAGTGCCACATGCTGGCTGTGCCTGCAGAGGTGCGAGACTGCTGTGCAGAGTCAGTGTATGCACCTCTTCTGATCCTGAGGCGTGATCCCGATGCGCATGCTCTGCTTTTGGTGGAGGCTGTGAATTCGTAGTCTCCCCAGCCCCTCAGCCTGATTTTTGAGGGTTTCATCGAGGCTGAGAAGCACTTCAGGGTCAAGGAGCACTCTTTTTCAGGCGTGAGCTGAGATGTGGCACCTGGCGTTGCAGAGAAGTGAGTGCTCACGCAAGCACGGAGGCTGTGACGGTTTGGAAGCAGCTTGTGAGCTTGAGCGACTTGGTTCTGCAAGCACTGCACTGTCATGCCAGTCTGAAGGGGTAAAAGCCAAGTTCTGCAAGTGAAGCAGCTTGAGCCGCTGCAGGTGCATTCTCTTGTGCTTGATGCTCAAAGGAGAGGAGGCGCAACTACCATCCCTTCGCTTGAGATGTTCAGAGTCGACCGATTGAAGCCAGGAGGTTGTGCCTCCAAAGCCTGACGACGAAGCTTCTGTCGTCACATGCGATCAGCGCCAACGGAAGACGCGAAGGAAGTTCAGTCCGAATGAAGAAAAATTAAAAGCGTCGCGAAAAGATTTTCGTGCTACCGTGACCTTCAAAGTGCTTGTCCGCCACGCAATGAGTCTTCAGATGTTCTCGGCAGAGGCTTGGCATGCTCCTGTCAGCCGTTGCAGTACCGTAGTGTCTTTGCAGACTTACCTGGCAAGGACGTGGCTTAGCTGCGTTTTGCACAGCCCATGATTAACAGAGGTTCGACGACTCTAATTGACCGTGATCGAAGATTTTCATGATAAAGCGTTCGGCACTGTTGACAGTTGCAACGATTTGATGTCGGCAGCCCAGATGAGGACATGGACGTGGACTTGGAGCACCTGGATGTGCCGGCGCGGTCCTCAGGGACCTTGCGTCCCGGGCCGTGGTCAAACTTCGAGGAGACCTGCCGGCCGTGCCGGCCTCTCAGTCAGAAGTGTCTGAGGTTGGAGGCGTTCCGATGCCACCAGAAGCTTGGGTGTCTGGCTCTGTTCCGTCTCCTCCTCTGCTGCCCTTGCTTGGACTTGCTCAGGAACTTCTGTCCATATGGTCAGAGGTGTGGGACGCACCACGTGCGAAGCCCGGGTGTTGCTACAGTGTCTCTGATTCCAGTTCTTTTGGATACTATGTCCAGGGGTTTAGGGGGTTTAGGGTTTAGGTGGTTTGCGGCTCAGGGGGTTGCGGTCCAGGGGGTGTAGGGTTTAGGAGGTTTAGAGGGTTTGGGGCTTAGAGTTTAGGGCATCTTTCAGGGCGTGTGCCAGGAGCTTTATGATGAGTGCATACTTATCATACTTACATGATCTTAAACGCATAGACAGGCAGAAATCTTGAACATAGCGTTATTATTGTATGTGTGGTGCATAAAAAAAGGTAAGTAAGGATGCATAGAATGACTGGTGATCTGTTTCTGCGTATGTATTTGTGATTCAATGCCGTTCGGCAGGTTTAGGGGCCAGATCAATAGGCTTAGTGTTTAAGGTTTAGGGCTTTAATAATTTAGAGTCGGGGGCTTAAACCTAAACCCAAAACCCTAAAACCCTGGAACTTCCGGAACAGGCGGACCCATCTAAGGCATCTGACCAAGCACCAGCTTTGTCACAAACCTTTGCAAACCCGGAGAGCCCAACGTCACACAATTCGGGAATATTAAAGTTTGGGGAGTTGAGGGTTTAGGGTTTCGGGTTCAGGAAGATTCAGGAAGCTTGAGATTCATTCTTGATCTGGGAAGATCCATGCTCAAATGTAAAGGGACCACGGAGAAGCGACACATCCTGAGAACTTGGCCCTTTTCTTTTCTGGTCACGGTGAAGAAAACTGACATGTGACCACGTCAAGAAACTGCTAGCAATGACAGACTCCTCAAGTCAAATAACACAAGCCAACGGAAGTGGTATTGCATCGCGACGGGATTCTGAGATCCCCCAGACCTGGAATGAAGCAAGCCGTCGCATAAAGATGGAAATGCATCTCGTTGCCACGTTGCAGTGAACCACCTGAAAACCTTCAGCAAATTCATACTGTGCACAGATGCATGGTTCTTCCTGGAATGGTGGAGAACGCGGATGCAATCTAAGGGTTGTACTTGAGACAGGCAGCGATGCTGATGCAGTGTTCACGGGCAGTATTGAACAGGTTACAACTTTGTCTCTGTCAAACGACACGTCAGGGGCCGCCTTGTTGCCTCATGAATCAGGAAGGCCGCTTGCTCGATGACTTGGGTGGGGCTTGCCCTATACCTTGTGGCCCCTCCTTCCCCACGGGGTCAGCCCAACATGGCCGCAGCATACATCTGAACGCTGACGACAGCAACATTGCCCAGGACTGATTGTTGCACATTCACAGCAGGCAGGCTTCTTTTCCGGCTCGCTGTTGACGAGCACAAGCATCGTTGCGTTTGTAGGAGGGTCAAGGGAGCGGCAGGGGCGCGACAAAGAAAGAAAGGAAGAAAGGAAAAACGAACCAAAGAACGACATATAGAAAGAAAGAACGAACGAAAGAACGACAAGCCGACAGACAGCCAGCCAGGCAGGCAGGCAGACAGACGGACAGAGAAAGAACGAACGAAAGAGCGAAAGAGCGAAAGAACGAAAGAACGAAAGAACGAAAGCGAAAGAACGAACTGAATAACGACAGAAAGACCACACAAAAGAAATTAAGAGCGAACGCAGAGAAACCGGAAACAGAAAGAACAGAGGAGAGAAATAAAGACAGCAACAACGAACCGAATAAGAAACAAAGACAGTAGAACGAAAGAAACAGCGACAGACCGAAACAGAAGCAAAGAACGAGGGAATCACAGGGATAAACAAGGTGACGGCGCCTGTACGTGCCATTACGCAGCTCTGCGTTTTTACACAATTCAGAATGAGAAGTTCTACATGGATTCGACAGATATGCACGGCATTGTGGTGGTAGTAGCATGATTTCGCATTTCGCGAAATTTTAACCTCTTACAACAACAGAATGGCGGGATTTCGAGACCACGCCAAGAAGGAGCGGGAGGCAAATTGTGAGTAAACAGTGCGGCCGGGGGCCCCGTGTGGACTCTAGGCACTTCGAGCGATTCGAAGGCCAAAGGAGAACTTGGAGCGGCGGCGGAGGATTTCCAGGTTAACCCACAAGGACAAAATGGGCACGGCTCTGGTGGGAGCACGATTCATCAAGTTACTGGCAGAGCGATAAGAACACGAATGTAGGATGGGAATTCACACTCAATCGTAGGAACAGACCAGGACTCTGGAAAAAATGTGATTGTAGTCGAGGATGTCCATCCGGTAAAGCGGGAGCAAGAGAGCGGCTTCGTGCGAGCATGTGCGTGCGCCTGGGGATGCCTGGCGTGAACACTTACCAAACAAATCCTTCTTAGACTGAGTGTAGGAGACCATGAGTGTTACCCACCGCACTGTGCTTGGACAAAGGCTACACCGCTTAGTTTCCGGATTCCAGACGTCGGACTCAATGAGAACTCTTCCTCAGTCTAAGACTGCGGCAGTCTGATTGCATCTGGTGGAGTAAGGCTTCCGAGCGCATGGCTTGGCTTCGACTCGGCTGAGCAGGGAGGCACGCCGGTTTTGACCCGGTTGGGTAAGTCAGCGAGGGAGCACTGGGATTTGACGGAGCACTGAGAGCCCCATCAGACAATGGGGTTCCCAGCTCTCCGTGCCCTGCGACACAAGGCCGGGCTTATAGAAACCGCTGTTTCACTCGGCGAGGCTGTCATGCCCTTGCTCAAGCTAGCCGCTTCGTGTGTGGCAGATACTTGCTTGCATGTGTTGTGAAGCGCTCTTGTCTGCAAGGCCTAGTTATTCTAGGGCTGATCCTACATATGCATGGCATAAAGCGAAGCTGAGGCAGTTCAGAGACACCTGCAGGGCAGCAGCGCAGCTTTGAGGGTGCGTGGGCAAGAACTGTTAGAGTAGTGGATTCGCAGTACCGGTAGCCTGTGCAGAGAGCGCAGGTGCCTCTGCATGGAGCCTCCAAGGAGCTCCTGGCTCCTAGTCAGCAACTGCTTGGCTGCTGCTGAAAGCGATCGCAGAGTCGACCGCAGCTTCTTCGATGAGATTAGCTCCCACTCATGTGACGCAACAAGCGACGGCCTGCAAGCAACACGAGACCAAGCCAACAAACCTCACGATAAACATTCGCCTGAGCCGGGCTGATGGCCCATGCCATGAAGCGCTCTGCATCCCCCGCTGAAGATGCAGAGGAAGACTCCGCTGATCGAAAATCGCTTCGAAAAGCATCGTCATGGCAAACCTTCTCCAGCACTGATCCTCTCTATGCGCTTATGGGTGAGGTGCAGGAGAAGAGAATTGTGTCAGAAGCGGGGCAAGTTCAAAACGAGCTATTAAGTCGATGCCTGCAGATTCTGGTCGTAGAGCAGGCTGCGCAGAAACCCAAAGATTGGATCGAGTTCTGGGCTAAGATGAACATTCCCGTGGACAGCCAGTCAAGAGTTCTAAAGGAGATCATTGCTTTCTGCCTGAATGAACCCCCGGTGGGTGGCCTCGGTGCCGTCCTTGCCGAGCTGATTAAGGGTCATCGTGTGAAGACGCGGGCCGTGGAGGAGGCGGTCGAAACAGCGATGGCCGGAGGTCAGGATCCCAAAGGGGTGTTGCGGCAGATGCTCTTTAGCATCTATCCTAAGAGCCCGGACTCCGATTGGGGCTGGGCTCGCGTGGGATGGAGCTGGCAGGAATGGTGGAAAATCGTCGAACGAACGATTGGCAGCCTTGAGAAGCTTGCTGCCTTTGATGAGTTGGGCTTGCTACTGGAGAGCTTGGAGTTAGAGGGCGGCAAGCCACTTTCCAATCAGTCGATCTGGTCGGAGCCCAGGTTGGCTAAGGCCGCCGGGATACAATTCTGGCGTAGGGAGGGCGAAATTCTGCAAGTGTCATGAAATTTCGTGTCTGCTTCCCTGAGGTTCGCGATTCCCTTTGCAAGTTTGCCGAGGTAACGGACACTGACTTGCAGGCGTGCCTTGCGGCAAGTCTCACAAGCTCGACAGCACCATGAGAGCAGAAAGTGGCCAGAAGCATGATCGGATTGTTGTGAGCTGGGCATGAGCACTGGCAAGGAACGGGTTTTGCTTGACACGCTCAGGTGGCTGCAGCCGATGCCGAATTCAAGGGGAAGGGTTTACCTGCGGGAGCCTTACCTTGCCGTCTGCAACGTCTCCGGAGGGGCTTTTCTCTCATTTTGCCGAGGACCCGCGAAGGAATCCTTTGGATTTTGTGCGCGAGCTGGTGCACGCATCTTTTCTGACAGGACTCGCTGTGATCAACTGAGTGGTGATGCTTTCAAACACTCCTTGGCAAAAAAGCCCTGTTGCTGTAGCGGTCCGGTGGGCATGCTCGAGCACTCTTCCGACGGTATGTCGTATTCAGAAAACAAACACTGTTGAGAGACAGACAGGCTGCCCAACATGGGATAGTAAGTAAGACATCGTTGTGACTGCCGCTCGATTCAATTGAAGGTGTTGATGATGTAATATATCTTATTTCGTAGAGACACATCACCATGCAAGTTGGCATCTAAGTACAGTCTGCGGACTGCTGCAGGAGATGGTGAGTATGCAGACGGGATGTCCGAGGCAAGTGCGTGTGCGAAGCATCCTCCTGTCCAGCTGGCATGCGACACATTGGTATGGACATGTATGTGGCCACATCAAATCCTGAAAAACACTGCTTTGTACAACCTGTTCCCCATGAGTTCAAGGAAGCGTCAAGCGCGGTCTGGCTTTTTGTCCTCTAAATCTGAACGGAGTTCTGCTCAGAGGCCTGCGACGCGTGCATGCGACTGGATGGGAATCAACAAACAAAAGCTGAAAACAAGCCCGACGCCATAAAAGACCTTGGAAACATGCTCCATCACGTTTGTTATTGCTGACATTCGGCTGGAGGATATCACAGATGGTTGCATTTGCAGAAGTCTTGAGTTCAGTCATCCGCACTTCAATTGCTGCCACTGTGGTGGTTGCATCGACGATATGAAGCGTTGACATGCGTCGCCCCACTCATGAAGAGAAACACTGGGTCCCGTTCCTGCATCATGTTCCGGGATCCTATCAGCAAACGCAGAACAGTTGCTTCTGCATGGCATGCTTCATGCCGGGGCTTTGCCTTGGTGGTTTTGCATCATCCTCTGCCGAATTGCACTGTGTTGGACATGGCAAGGTGCGAATCGATGAGCTCATGAAGACTTGCTGCGAAGCCCAGCTGGACGGGACGGGAAGGATCAGCGTGGCTACTGTAGTGTGCCGGAAAGCCTCGCGGAAGTCGCTGCAAGGAGTTTGGAAAATCGCTGTCGCGAAACCCGACAGCATGTTTCTGAGCTCACGGAGTCACGGAGAGGAGACATAAACTCCGAGGATGTGTTTTGTTTGTCCCTCAGGCGGCCCTCGAGGCCGCATACGCTAAGCTTCAGCAAATCGTGCTGAACTCACCATCTCGAGGGCTTCTGCTGTTTGCGCTTTCCTTCGGCTAACAGCCGAGGTGCGGGAAGTCCTCGAAGCTCCGCCGGAGGTACGGTAGCGATAGCACGCATGTAGCTTCGTGTGAGCTTCTCTTGTTTGCCAGGAGGGTGACCTGGCCGGTGTGGCCGGACGTTGGATCCTGGCGGGACAGTTGCGGCGTATTGCAGAGGAGCGCGGCTGTCTGCCTTGGCCACACATGCGGGTTCGTGCTTGCTTGTGTCTTAGCCAAGGACGCAGCCCCCCTCCTCGTGCCCACCAAGCGCGAGCAGTCGCAGGACTGCATCGGCCATGTATGTGATCCGTAAAGCCGTAAAGAATGCCGTTTGGGAAATTGAGATGTCAAGGGTGAGTTCGAAGTGGAAGCCGATGAGTCCACCGTGAGCCACACGGACCAGGAGATGGACGGCGAGGCGCTGGTGCCTTCGAGGCTGCAAGTCGTCTGGATGACTTGAAGGCGACATGTTTGAATGGAATTTTGATGTGACATGTTGGCTCAGGATGCTGTCGCCTATCGCTAATCTATGTGTTGTCCATCTAACCCACTCTTCCTCTTCGTTTGTTTAATGCCGCCATGCTTTTGAAGCTCCTGCCATTCCTGCCCGTATGCAGTGCTGAAGACCGATGGACCAATTTTCTGGTCTTTGATGGTCACTACTTGCCCATGGCAAAGTGCTGGTTTCAATGGTTTGAGAAAAGCGCGTCCTCACATTCCCTGCAAGTTGGTTGCATGGATGATGCATCTTGTGCAGAGGCTGAGCTTTGGCGCCAGAACTTAGGCAACAAAGTGGACAGCGTGAGTATCACCAATGTTCTCGACCACAGAGCCATCGAAGCGACACACATGGATGTATCCATTTCGACCGATGGCGAGATGAAGCTTGTTCAACCACACACCGGACACAGGCAGATGATTCGAAGTGAGCATTCTGCCGCTTCCGGCTTCCCGAGGAGCAACTACATTCAGACCTACCACAAGATGCTTTGGGATACACTAAGTCAGAAAAAGTCGGTGCTGCATCTGGATGTTGATGCACTGTGGCTACGCAGCCCTGATTCTAACTTATCGCAAGTTTTGCAGCAGTATCCGGATGCCGACATCATTGCATCATCCAGCACGGAGTGGGATCCGAAAAAGATTGCAGACAAATGGGGCTTCGTATTGAATGTTGGCTTCATCATGTACAGATACACTGAAAGTGTGCTCAGGCTGTTTGAAGATGACCTATTGTCTGTCCCGACGGACAAGCAGTCTTGCCAGGTACTTCTCAACCTTGCACTGGATCGCAAAGGCTGCCAATGGACTGGAACCGACCTTGAAAACAGGGTTGGCATCTGTGGTGGAATCAAGGTCGTCGCTCTTCCGCACACATTCGTTTCCAGAGCGACAGACTTCGTATACACCCCTGAAGATCCAAGCATGCCAATCATTGCGCATCCTGACACCGGGGTTCTGCATCTCACCGGCATAAATAGGATGGAGAAATTCCACCAGATGAGACTGTGCACATAGTGATAATTCCACGAACGAGATGTCTCAAAAAAGCGTGCTTGACAATGCCAGATCAACCGAAATGCATTTGGACAAGACGGGGGCGTATCTAATCAGTGCTTTCTTCAGACAACCCTCTTGAAGTACAGTACTGCCTTCGGGCAAGTGAACGTACCGAACATGCTCGAACTTGTTTCATACCCATGCCTGTCGGCCATAAACTGCTTGGAGGTCTCGAAACCGACCGAAGAGGACGAAGACAGCGAACCCCCTCTGAAGAGGACGAAGTCCCAGGTGGCCGCGACATTGAAGGCACGAACCTTGCACTCCTTCCGTGTGCTCATGGCGTGCAATGATGGATGCACCACAAGCAATGGTTGTCGGACGTTTCCATTGCTTTCTTGATGGTGCGAGCTGCTTCCAAGTTGAGTCCATGCCGTCCTGCCAGCGAAACGTGACCAGTAGGCATGATCCAGCTCCACGTGGTAGGCCGGAGGTTGTCCCAGTCCCACCCCGTCCCACCCCCTCAGCCGCTTCAGCCACACTTCAGTCGGAACAATCGAAGTGTCCGGTGTAGCACAAACGTCGCATATTAATTGTTTCAGTTGTATCATCGCTCAGGATATGGCCATGATGTGAACATCCCAACCGAATTAGTTCGAGCCATGGCAGATGGTAACCAGCCCTGAAAGGAATGCCGGCGGCCCGTGTGGCGGCCGATGCCTCGACAACTACTTACAGTTTTTGTAACCCAACTAACTGACTTGTCAGACTTTAGGCGCTCACATGCCCTAACAGGCTTGGCCCAGCCATTCATGGCTGCTTCTGCAGCTTGTGACTTCGGTCCCCTGGCAGCGATTCGAGACGCTTAAAGCCTCGGTACGAGTAGTGGTGATCGCCAGTGCGAAGGTTTTAGAAAGGATCGAGCACATGCCATGCCAATCATGGGAATCTTGCTTCGCTTTTCGCCCGTGTCTAAAGTCTAGGTTCGAACCCCAATATTTGTTCGCTCCTTTTGGGAGTTCTGCTGGTCCCTTCGATTCCTGGTGGTCTCGTGCTCTTGGTGGTCTCTTGGTGATGGTGGTCTCTTGGCGGTCTCATGGCCGTCTCCTGGTCGTTGTCGTTCCTTGTCTTCGCGCTGTCTTTCTGGTCGCAGTGCTCGTAGTGGTCTTCTCATGTTCTTCTGGTGTTCTCTGGATGCTGTCCTCGTGGTCTGCTCGTGAGCGCCATGGTCTACATCATCTGAGTTTCATCTCATTATGCTGCTGTACTGAAGTTCGCTCTGGTCTGCTTACTCTAGCCGATGGTCATTGTCTACTTTGTCCCATCATGAAATGGTTGTCGTTAGCATGATGTTTCTCATGCTGCACACAGTGTTATCATCTTAGGCTGTCGCTACTGCATAGGCTGATGATGATGAGGACTAGCGGCAGGAGCAGCAAAACCAGCAGGAGCAGGACAGGGAGGAGGATGATCAAGAGTTTGTCAAGCAAGCCCGCTGCGAGCCTTGCGAAGCGTGTTGGGACTGGATGTTCCTTGCATGACAAAGCACGACTGCACACGTCACTGAGAAGCCTAATGCAGTAGGAGGACCCAAACTAATCAGGACACGCGAACATAAAGCTCCAGTCAGAACCTGTGATGGAGAGATGCATGAAGCTCTTTGGACACACTTTGTCTAGGCCTACAAGACCCACCGTGTGAAGAGACTTACTAGCCAGATTCTACACAAGCTGTTCATGTTCGCAAAAGGACACGGGGGAGCGGGGGGAGCACTCAGCAGTTGAAACGACAGCAGACAAAACCAAGACAGCCCTGGAGCGCCTACATTTCCTCCGACAATGCATGAGGGCCAAGCCAGTCTCGGGGCTGCTGTCGGATGGAGGTCTGCCCACGGTAGCAACAGTCACAGCCTGCTGTCTGCATCTTGCCGGCAGCCTTTCAGTGTATATAGCACGGCATCATGTTGTTCTTCGGCGGACTCGGAGTCCAGGAAAGTGCATTCCACTTGGCCTAGCCAGCGGAGGAACTACGGAGCAAATTGATGTTGAGAAGCTTGTCTCGTACATTTAGAGCACAGTTCTCAACATGTTTCGGACCTCGGCTTCGAATTCCAACTCGAACATAACAGTTGCGGCTCGACGCGTCCGTCGTTGAGGCTTTGGCGTCCTGTGTGTTCAGACCAGACTCTCTTCGACAGCCCGGACCAAAGTCACCCTAGAAATCACCACGTTTCTGTATCTCATAGTCTTTGCTCAGGTCTGTCGTTGTGCAAAGCATCAATTTTGATGGCGCATACAGCTTGAGCTTGCATGAAGGCGGGGTGGGACGTGTGCCAGACGTCTGTTGCTATACACAGCTTGGTTTTGCTTGTACTGGTGCACCATGCCACAACCTTGCCTTTTCCAGGCCTCGGCTGCTTGGAGAAGGTGCTTCAGTATGCCGATGTGCAACTCCTTGCTGCTTCAGTTCACTTCTCTCTGCAGATCGTCGCACCATACGCAGCGGTCAACCAGTCTTTGCACGCCGTCGCGGACTTTTACGAGCAGCTTTGCCCTCAATCCTGAACTGTCGCGGAGTCGTCACTTGAGCGATTTGCTCCGAGCGAACAGGTTCTACGCTTTCCGGTACATATGCGCAGACCCCGCAGCCTCGGATCAGACGCAGGTCTTCTCGAAGCTACCATGGAAAGTTTGTTTTGCCTGGGTGTGTGAGGCACCGCCTTTTGACTACGGAATCTACGGCACCCCGCGAGGATCCGACAGTTTTCAATCGCTTTGAGAAGCAGAGCTGTTCAGCAATCGGCTCTGTGACAAGGAGGTGGAGCATCCGCAGAGGCAGAGCGGGAAGAGTGTCGTGCTTGCTTTCGAGAGCTTCGCCCTCCAGACCAAGTGCATAGAAGAAATCAGGTCCGGAAGCACCCGCATGAAATTCCATGAGCTTGAGTGCCTGCTTGGAATTCGGATATCCGGGGGGGCCTTCAGTTCTCAAGGCTGCAGGCGTGGCAGGAAACGGGTGCAGCATGTGCATCGGCTGTCGAGGTCCTCAGGTCAAGGTCTCCGCGCATTCCTTGCCGCTCTCAGGCTGCACGCGTCGACCTTGTAGACGAGCTGCGAGCGCTCGCAGCCACATGCTCAGGAAGTAGCTGTTGCAAGAATCTACCCTGGACGTACCTTGAGGATGCCTTCAAAACTTTCCGAGGTATCGCTTCCGAGCAAACCAGGCTTGACAGATTGGTATCTTCCTGCCAACTCGATCTTTGCGAGGCTGCGGGTGCTCATGCTGCGGTTGGCCAGCATTGCCTCAAGAATTAGAGCTGCAGGCTTCGAGATTCCCACGTTGACTGGCGAAACGGTGGCACCAAGGACCCCAATGCGTTTCGGAGCTTTAACTGTCGCATGCTCTTGATAATCACGCAGGTCGACTCCATACTGAACCAGTTCATCTTCATGTTGCAAGATGACCGCGCGCAGAAGGCAGTGCGCATTCAGGCCCTCTGTGGGGAGAGGGGACTCAGCGGCTGTGGCAACTTTTCTGCAGATGTTGCAGAAGTGCAAGTTCGCGTGGCGAAGCCTCAGACTCGTTTACAGGTAGCTGCAAGAGACGCCGTCGTTGTCAACGGCTTCGCAGCACCCAGGCTTGGGTCATGGCCAGTCACGGCTATACGATACCGTACTGACAGCAAGGAGCCATAGAGACTCTGAGGTTCCTGTCTGAGGGTGGCGAGATTGCCAGCATTGATGGGCTGCAACCCATGAGGTGCCAGTCCATGTGCTCGAGTTGCAGAATCTTGATGCTGAAGGGTTTAGAACCCAGGTGGTTCCGGCTACACGTGCTAGAGAATCCGGCCTTCAACTACGGCTTCAAGAGCGTTGGTGAGAGCCTCGGGCCTGGCCCCAGGGCGGTCGTGCTTGTTCGGAATCATGTAGGCGGGGCGACTTTTGCTGCTTTATACCGTTCTTAGTCTCTGGGGATCTCCGGTGCACATGCTGGTTTCGGAGCTGCTTGCTTGTGTGTTTGACTGTGTCTCGCTCGTGCAGACAACGTTCGTTCCTCGTCCGTTGTCTGCCACGAAGAGTGGAGCGCCGAATTCCGAACTGTCTCGCTGAAGTCCTGCATTTGGCAGGTTGCGCACGTCTGGCATTATTTGTAACTCAGATGTCTTGCTTCGACTGAATCCCGTGTTTGCCTTGGTTTCGAGTGTACCTGCGTGGACAAATCCAAGCAGTTTGCCCGATTGAGGTGCAGTAGTGGCACGGGTGCAGCTGAGGTCCAGGGTTGTGTAATAATTACTACAGACAAGGCATGCAAAACATGATTTCAGAAGGAGAACCTCTCGGCCGATCGGGTTAGCCCACAATTTCCGTCACTGTGTCTGGGGTCGGCTTTCCCGCTCGTTGTGATAGTGCCCGCAAGCAAGCCTGAAGCAAGCAATCAAAAGTCATCGTCGTGATGAGGCCTGTGCACGAAGACTCTGGCAATGGGCAAGCCTCCAGCATTCGTTACCGCACCAATTGTTGCCCTCCGAGACCCCATGCGCACAGGCCGATGGCAGAATCGGCCATCCCCTCTCGTAACCTGCTTCTTTGCTTAGGCTCAGGATCTACACTTCTTCGTGTGAAAGCATCTTGAGCTGCCCCTTTGGGTTTATCTATGGACGACGTTGTGCGAACTTCGGAATAAGCCATAGCCGGGTTTAATGGCTTGGCACTGCTCAAACAATGACAAGAGCCGCAGAAAGCTTCGAAAGGCTCTCGATGCTGCCAGGCTGTTTCCCAGAAGTCTGCATACCCGAACCATGCTGCAGGGCGTTGTTTTTTTGGAATTCTCCTGGCAGCACTTTGAATGACATTGCCCAGGTCCACGGGCCAACAGCTTCTTCAAGTTGGGGCGGATTGGTCTTGCATGGCCTTGTCCCCCGGTTCGAAGGCCGTTGTATGCGATTCTGAGTTGGTAAGCGAGGTTGGGCAGCAATGTGGGCGATGTGTCTTCACTGAAGCCCTCGGTCAACGTGACGGTCACAGTTTGGACCAAGCTGGCTGCTGGATTCGGTGCTTTCTTTTTGCTTCAAGGTGAGCTTTGCTGACGGCTCGGCCGATGCCCAAGTTCGGGCGGTTCAGAAGCCAAGACAAGCGAACGCTGGAATCAAAAGAAGTCCAGTACAACCACCGACCGATACCACAACTTCGCAAGTCGACGTAGGTTGCGCATGTTTCAACGTCCAAAGAAGAAGTCGGAATGCTTGGAGTTAAAATTCGATCTTGTCTCAGCCGGAAATGGCTCTGTTCGTGCCGCAACGTGAGGCTTGTACATGGAGTTGGACATGGCTGTGGCTGACCAGGAACTTGGCATCGTGGGGTCCTTCAGTGGGTAAAGCGCGAAGTTCACGTCCATGTGTTCTACTGCCGATTTTCTGGCTGCTTTGTGAAAGCAACATCCGGTCGTCAAGTTCCGAAGCGGAAGCCAGCTTCAATAGGAGAGACGGGTAGAGACGGCGTCCTGGAAGTCATGAAACCTGGTTTCTAGAACAAGCAGCACGCGGCGCATCGCACTCCATCCTTTAACATTCAGAGGTTTGACACACTTTGGCGCGTGATGTGGGATTGTTGTTCAGTACGGCTATAAGGATAGAAGGAACTGTGGACCATCATCAGGGCACGGCCCAGCCGGCATCGTCGACAAGAACCTGATGCGTGCTGTAGTGTTACAGTCTTCTGCCGTACGCGAAGGTTACTCCAGCTCAAACCCGACTAGTCCACGTCAGCAAACCCATAATGGCTCCGCAAGCTCGTCCAAAGCCTAGGCGAGCAAGAAGTGGTTGAGGCTTCGGCCTCTTGAGGGAAGTTTTGCCTTCTCACTAGGTGCAAGCTCTTCGATGCAGCTTGCGCCGTCAAGTTTCTGGAGGTGCAGTCTGCTGAGTGCAACATGACAGCAGCGACATCCTGGCAGCAAAAATCAAGGCATGTAACAATTTCGAAGCCTACTGCATGGCTCTCTGACTTTAGTCGCAAATAGTGGTGTTTCGGTGACGGTGCTCCTGCCTACAGATCCCATGCTGCAAGCCGAAAGGCTTGAAGCCGTCAGGCGCACCTGACAAACTCCAGCGCGCTCTTTCAGCATGCAGCAGAGGCCGGTTGCACGGCGGGTCCGTCGTTCGGAGCAGTCAGAGCCTTTGCTTAAGACTTCAGGCGACGCCGGCTCGCGGAAGGTAATTCTAGACTAGTGTTGTGTCGGGTGAAGCATCCGAAACTCGCAAGACGTGTGTCATCGTGCAGGCAGCCTCCCAACTGTCATGCACTCAGCCGTGCAGAGTAGTTACGTGAAAGAGAGGCGTTGCTGTGTTTCTGCTTTTTGGACGGCTTGCTTTCCTGCTTGCAAGGTCCTCGAGACATGCCGACGGCCGCAGATCCGCGAATGTCGAGCGCCCAAGCTGCTGCTGCCACGTTCTCTTGCATGACGACTGCATGGCAGGTGATGGTACATTCGGCAGATGCGGACATGGTCGAGCTTCTCCGAAAGGAGATATTTGGATTTGTCAAACTGCGCACACCGGCTCGCCTTTTTCCCGAGCACCGCCTCAGCGGAAACCTGTCGAGGAGCCTAGCCTGCGGGCACTGCTTCGGATCCAGGAGGAGAACATCCCTGGCACAGAGGCAGAAAACGGATGTGCAGGGAGAGTTCCGAGGAACAGGTCAGTCTTGCCCTTCTCCTTTGCTGTGGCAAAGCTGGTGCTTGATCTAATGCATGCAACAGCCGCAGGCGCATCGGCGAGTGCTTGCACATCTGGGTCTCAGGCACTCGCGGATCAGATGTGGCTTGCTTGTTGCACGGTTCCGCGGTTGACAGCACCCGCTTCACCATGCAACCTCAGGGAGCGCGCAGGTCAGGCTGTCAGCCTTCTTGCAGGGCACTGAGCCAGTCTGTCGTTACGGCAAGTTTTGAAGTTGCCGTCGTGTAATTAGAGACTGAGGCTTTGCCTCCACGCCGCTGGCTATTAAACCCTGCCGCCAGTCCGCTCGGGGCCTCTTATGGCTACTTCGAGTTTCAAGAAGACGAGGGTGGCAAAGTCTTCGCAGTGTTCAAGCTCAGCCGCCTCTACGTTAGCTCAACGGGATCTGTTGGCTACGATGCCAAGATGGAGTTTGTCAGCTTCTGGAAGGAGTTGGTGTACACAGCAAAGGAAAGGGGCGTGGATCGCTTGTTGATTGACGTCGCCGGAAATGCCGGTGGTTTCGTGGATCTTGCATATTTGCTCGTTCGGGCACTGTACCCGTTCTTGGAGTTCCAGCAGGTGTGCAACACATACGACAGGCCTGTGGGATCTCTGTACAAGGCTTGGAGGGAGGTCGACACCACCCCCCTAGCAGCTTTCATGGACGATGACACGGCCATCCGGCAACGCTTGAAGCAGATGACTCCAGAGGAGCAGGCAGCTATGAAGTCAGTTTTGCAGAAAATCACCAAGGCTTGCATGGAGATGGATGTTTTGGACATGGACGACGTGCTGCAAATCCAGTCTGCCATCGATTCCTTGGACACAGGGGAGGTGGACGAGGAGAGCTTGCGCGGGACTCTTGAGATCCTGACTGCATCAGCTGAGAGTTTTGGAAATCCTTTCTCGCTATATCTTGACGGTTATGCGGCAAATGGCACCCCGTTCGATCCATTCAAGTCTGCGCGAACGGCGCGACGGGGCGGCAAGCCTAACGTTAAGCTGACAGAATTCTTTCGCATTGAGGACTGCGTTTTGGCATTTACCCAAAAATTTGTTGATGCATTTAGAGGGCTAGAGCATCCGTTTACAAACATTCTGTTTGTGTCTGACGGCGGTTGCGGATCATCATGTGACACGTTCTCCCGGACTGCGTACATGATTGCGAAGAAGCAGCAGCATCATGGAGGTTCGAGGCTGCAGATAAATTATGTAACTTTCGGTGGACTTGGTGGATCCTTTGACGATGCACAGGGCACGCTGTCAGCGACGTCATTTCCTGGAGGGAACTTGATGATGGCCGCCATGGCGCAATTGTACAACCCCATCTATTCCGCTGCAGCTTTAGGGTATCTTGCTGCCGAATGGGCCGGTTTGGGTCCCATGAAGAGGCAGCTTGCACATTTTCGTACTTTCGTTCCCCAGTATCCGTATTATTGGAACAATCTGCCACAGTACCCTCAGAGTGAGATGTACCAGAACGCGTTGGGAGATGATGCCCTGCCTGCGGAATTCTATTTCTTTCCCACGGACATGTACTTGCCGGACTGGTATGCGGACGTAGTCGGCGAGCCACATGAGTGGAATGAGTCCGAACTGAGACGTCTGCACGTGGACGCAACCAAAGCATTCAAAGCTGTGTCAATGATCTTATCGCCTTCTGCAGCCTCTCGGGATCTTCTGGGAAGGCAGCCATATCCCGGCACAGTGCTTCAGGGCACCAGTTTCGCTTGGTTGGTAGGTCTGGGGATCTTGGCTTCCACCGCGCTGTTCCTCCTGGTAGTCTTCGCCTTGACAAAACTTCCGGAGGGACTACGCATTGGCTTTTCGCACCCAGAACTGCATGAGCACATGGTGAGTGATGAGGAGGCTTCTTCGTAAACGCACAGCCTACTCATTGCCGGAGGCAGATGCAAAGCACGCTGTTTGATGCGGAAGCCTGGCGCTTGACGCCATTTAGAGGTGGACGTGTTTGCTGTTGGTACTTTTCTGCTTTGACTGACACATCACATCAAGATGTGTCTAAGCTTAATGCAAGCTGATGGTGCCGTGGTTTAGATGTATGTAATCAGAAGTGTGTTTTTGAGGTGCCGGTCGATTCATCGAATCTCAATCATTGAAGTCTGCATTCTCGTCCTAGACGAGCTTTGCATACAGCCCAAAGAGGTCGGTAGGTGACGAAACGTCGGTGGTCTTTCACAAGGTCCAGCAATTCAAGCACAAGCAAGCGGCTGGGCATGCTCATGAGTCGAAGCAGAGTGCTTGGAAAAGGGCTTATCTCGTCTTGACACGTCGCCCTGAGTGAGTTCCGTCATGGCCGGAGCTGCTGGGTAGGTCCAGAAGGTCAAGGAGCATCAGGAAAATATGCACTCGGCTGAGAATTGTCCTGACAACAGGCTGTGCCAGGGCCGCATCCTCTCAGTCAGGTTGAAAGAAGTCCATGATCTAGCTCGAACGACTTCAATGCTGGCCAAGCATGTTGCGGACTCAGCAGCTGCTGTCGGTTCAGGAGTGGGCACTGCCATGCACTGTCAAGGAGGTCCCGGCGAACCAAGCCGAAAAGCTGCGTGCTGAACTGTTGGCTGTCGGGGAGGCCGGCATCCCTGGATATCAGCATGTTCAGTGTGCTGAGAACCACCCATGCTCGAGTTCTAAGATTTCAACGGAAGGTGGAACTGAATCACAAGCAGTCGGACAGCCATATCAACACTCAACAACACATGCATAAAAGACAAGCGGATTCAATGGACTACCCGACTGGTCCCCAGGTGCCGCCATCTTAGAACATGCAGAATGATAAAACTATACATTAGTGACTCTACTGTCCTGCTGTCTTTGGGCGGTTCCTGGCAAGTGAATCGTGGTTGTTGTTTTGCTTTTCTTTACCCGTTGTGAAAACCCAGCGCAACAACAGACATTTCCTCGGCTCGTTAGAGGGGCCGCGATTTGTCCCTCTTTTCTGCTTGGTTCCGGGTTCATGTGCACAACGAAACAGACCTCGATGCGGGCCTTGCTGTGTTGTGTTTTATGTGTCTTTCGCATTTGTTTCTAACGTACAAAGCCCACAAACTACATGGAACTACATCGAATCGCAGTCCGAGCACCTGATCCCAAGCTCCGTGGAGTCGGTTTCGTTCGCTTGTTCGAGGAGCTCCGTGGGCTGTGAGAGGTTTAGAGTTGAGACTAATGGGTGATTCTGGAAGTCCTCCTACAGCGGTTTGTCTTGTCTTCTTACGTCTCTTCTCAGTGTGTGTGTGTGTGTAGGGGTGGTTCGTTTACTATGTGTCTTTTGGGAGGCCAATCTGTCTCCAATCCTCGCAGTACTTATTCACGGTGCAGTGTATTAAGAGTCGAGTTCAGCGTTGGCCGCTGCCTCAGGCACGGAAAAAAGCGAGAAATTTCGGTGAGGATTTGCTGGAGGATCGGCGCTTTCAATTCTTTACCGTTCCAGGAGCTTCGTGTAGTCTTGTTATAGTTGAAGCGAGGACATGATGGTGCTCGACAATCTGTCCAAGCTGACTCCGGAAGACAGGAGCCTTCGCAAGGCTGGACCGCGGTTCTTCTCTTGCAAGCCTTGGTACTGCTGCCGACGCTTAAGGCTACGATCGCCGGCCTCGAAGGCTTGCTTCAGGACCCGCCCAGCCCGGCAGGACTTCCAACGGCACCGAGCGACTGTCCTGTCAGAACGTCGACACGGCAAAGTCTCGGCTGGCAACGCTGCATAGAAGACTGGAGGCCAGCACTGTCCTGCCAAGCATGAAGAGTCGTTGCAGCATCATGTCCGCGAGTCCCGACAGGACAATTTGAAAACTCTCGAGGCGAAGGATGGTGCAGTGTTGAGTCAGTGACAGTCCCAGCAATTCAATTGCTGTATTGCCAGCTACCCGTGCACCGTGAGGAGAGGCAGCGTAAAGAGCAACAGCAACACGAGCAGGAGCAGGCCTGTCCTGGAGCCCTTGCTTGGCATGTGCTTTCGCTTTTGAGCTCAGCGTTGGGAACGGGTCACGCGGGACGGTCTGCAACCTGTTGGCGGAACTTCTGATTATGAGTCCTTGCAGGCGCCAAGCGTCAGCCCGGAGGTCTCAAAGCCGCGAGCAGTTGCGATGTCAGTGTTGGAGCCGCCTCCACCTGACCAAGATATGTGGAAGCAGGCTGGCCGCTGTTATGCAGAACTCGATCTGCTATTCGTTACTCCTTATCCCGCAGGTTCGACTACCTTTGAGGTTTCATGCCCGCGAGGCTCAGGGGATCTCAGGGGAAGAATTGGGATTGGTTTCCGGTAGCTCTGCCGCAGTCACAGGAAGACGGCCAGTACGTCCTCTCCGCAACGGCTCCAGGCTTGTTGCATTGACTTCTGTAGAATACAAGAAGCTCGGTTATTCGATCGCCCATCTCTTGCAGGTTTGTGCCCAGATGACCTCAAGGCGGACTCCTGCACTGGGAGTCCATGCCAAAAGCCTGGTAGAGTCGTTCCCCGTTTCACCACTCCCAGACCCATACTGTAATATGATTTAGAGAGAATTGCCGGCACTGTCCGGGCCTTGAGAGCTGGAGGGCCTGGAAGGTTTAGTAGCGCCATCGCCAGTTGGAGCTGAGCCACGATGCCACCACGCTCAAAGTTGAGGGCCTCCGACTGCCGAGCTGACCTCAGACCTGGATATCTTATTTCTGGCAGTGACTGACGCTTTGGGTTTTGTTTGAGGACGCAAAAGGAAGAAGACAAGATGCGAAGGAGGTCAGACTGCTTGGAGAAGTGGGTTTCGAACTTCAGCACCACAGTTTCCTCATTTGTAGTAGTTAGTAGTAGTTCTGACACATGCACGCATCTGGAGCTCTTGTCGTAACTAGATGTAACCAGGTTACAGTAGCTTGCCGCCTCAGCACACACACACACACACACACACACACACACACACACACACACACACACACACACACACACACACCCACACACACACACACACCCACACACCCACACACACACACACACACACACACACACACACACACACACCCACACACACACACACACACACACACACACACACACACACACACACACACACACACACACACACACACACACACACACACACACACACACACACACACACACACACACACACACACACACACACACACACACACACACACACGCGCAGACCCGCGCAGACACGCGCAGACACGCGCAGACACGCGCAGACACGCGCAGACACACCCGCAGACACACCCGCAGACACACCCGCAGACACACCCACACACACACACACCCACACACACACACCCCCACACACACACACACCCACACACTTGACACATCGTGTCGCAGGTCTGATCTGTCGGTGCATACTGTCAGGAAAAGTCAGCAGCTCAAAGCAAGCCCTCACTCAAACACAGCTCTGAGTCACACCTGAATGATCAGATTGCAGCAACCATGCAGGAAACTCGACAGTGGCAAACGTGAAGCTGTCACTCTAGTGTTGGTTACTCCAGTGCCTCAGGGGGCCCACTGGCTAATCCGAAAGCAGGTACACAGTGGTGATCAGCCACTGCATCCACTCCAGTGATTTGGCTTCGTTGGGCAAGGCTGATCACTGGAGCCCTTGCCCCCCTGCCTACTTCTCTCCCTTCGAAACAGGGTTGGACACACACAAGCCCGACCGGGCTCATTGCAGGAGCTTGCACATCACTTGCACGTCACTTGCACATCCCTTGCACATCCCTCGCACGTCACTTGCACGTCCCTTGCACATCCTTTGCTGCTTGTTCACTGAATTTCATGGGAGAGTCTTATGCTCAAAAAACCTAGGAGAGTGGGCTGCGAAACCTCAGGAAGCGCAGTCTATGCACTAAGTGCAATTCAACTTCTGCTTCTTCCGCATCAGCATCGAAGTACATGCAACACTGAGTTGCAGTTTGGTACGCAACGCTGGCCAGTGACACAATACTCACTCGCAAACGCTCCTGTACTAGGTCTACGACAGCTCTCATCCACCTTTTTGACGGGCTGCTCAACATGGTGCATGCCGCGGCATTGATTTGTGTAAAACGGATGGTGGTATGCAAAGACTGAAAGCCCATGGTCCACTCAACCGAAGAGGACAGTCGAAACTCCTGTATCCCACGTCGTAAAAAAGTGTACGCCACCATGGTGTCGGTTATGGGTTGTGCCTCTTCTGGGTCATCATTTGGATCGAGACGGGTAATGAATGTGATTCTGGTTCTGATCGGCAACACGTACATCAAGATGTTGTCGAGCACGTCAGAAGCAGCCCAATCCATGATGTTCGGGGTCTACACAATTTTCCGAGTGCTTGAAGCAAAACTCATGCACACCCTTGCATATCACTTGCAATCCGCTTGCACATCACTTGCAATCCGTTTGCACATCCCTTGCTCGTCACTGCTCTTGAATTGACACAGAGGTGGGCTCTTTTTATACCGTAACAACGAAATCGACTGGTTCGAGGGTTTGAGCAGTCGTGACAGGTTCTGTAAACCGAAGATGACGAAAGTTTTGTACAAGCTGGAAGGTGTGCAACCTAGGCCACCAGCCGAACTTCTCCCAGAGCTGCATCGCGACAAGGTATTTGGCAACGTTGATGGAATCGTTGATTGATAACTGGATGTGGAGAATAATAGTCTCGTGTCCGGTTGCCCGACTGCATACACGAACCCACATCCGAAAATTGTAGTCGCGGCTCGTACTCCAAGGCAAATTGGCTTCACGAGCCTTGCGCTTCATGTTGGACAACCTACACAATTTCACTGGATGTCAAATGCTGCAACTCAAGACGGCTCATGCAGAAACCTGAAGATGCACAGCACCGCACACGCGCACTCTTTAGTTTCTTTTACCTTAATCAGGAGCTTGCACATCACTTGCACGTGACTTGCACATCCCTTGCACATCCCTTGCACGTCACTTGCACGTCCCTTGCACATCCCTTGCAACACCCTTGCAATGACACTGGCACACAAACGCTTGTTTGCAACTGCTCACGTTTCACTCTGAGACTTCAATTTCTGCTGGAAGTGTTGGGGGCAACTCTGTTGTTTCTTGAAGTTGAAGAGAATTAACGCAATGAGTAGTCACAGATTGAAGAGAATGCAAATCCGTCAGCAAGTTCCCCACCACTTCGTTGGTCTTCTGAAGTTTCTGAAGCAGTTCTGTGGTGGCGGACATGACTTCCGCCACCTGAGCCTCAGTGTCCCTGATTTGTGTGGTGAGCACGTCGAGTTGGGCTTGTTGGATCTTCTGGACGGACAATGCTTCTTCGCGAAAATGACGGAATCCACCTCTGATTGTGATCAGCTCCTGTTGTGTGTAGGAAATCCAGCGTTGAAGAGGTGCCAACGGATCGCACGCTGAGTTGCTCGACATTAGCGCAATGGAACGAGACTTGAGCAGGGTGCTGCAACACTGTTCTGGTGTGTACCACAACACGACTGAACGAGTACTCTCAGCACTGGCGTCCGCTGCACAATCTTTCCTCACTTCAGCACTCGCATGCGTTACAGATACAAGTGAAATCCTGTCACATCGGGCATACTCAGCTAAGATCAGACGATTGACTGCGTCGCGATCGGCGTGATACACGTCTTCTGGTAGGCATAGGTTTGGATCTAATCGGAGTACCTGACGCAGCTGAAGATGTAGGTGCGGCCGACGACGAAGCAGCACTGGACACCAAAGGAGGTTCAGACACACGATGCTCCAAGCTTGCTACTGGTACCGGGGGTGGAAAGACAGGAGCACTGGCACTGGGCGGGGGGAAAAAGGGAGGGGGAAGAGGGGGAGGGAGGGGAGGAGGGGGAAGAGGGGGAGGGCCAGGGGGAGGTAGGGGGGGAG